TCCCAGTGGCACTGCTGACTAATGCTGCCAAGTGCTGAGCACATCCTGTCTTTTGAGAAAACAAATGATGCCATGGGATAAGGAAACAGACAAACAGAACAGCACACACCGTGGCAGCTCACTGAACTCCCATCCTCAGTCAAAACTGAGAGGGTAAAACACAGTTATAAGAGCATGATTAAAAGAAACAGTGATTGACAAACAGACAATATACTGCCCACGATAAGGACTAGGAAGGTCAGGGCTTGGCATTCAAGTGTACGTTTCAGTTATCAGCTAACAGAATATTAAGATATGTAATTGTTTTACAAAATTGAATGTCCTGAATAAATATTTTAAACTCCATTTTAACTAATCATTGCATTGTAATATCAGTTAGAAGTCATTAAGATTGCTAACTTAGTAAAAAACCACTAATTTAACTTTGAACATTAGTTCTTTATTGTTATATATATTCTTTATAATTGTTGATTTAAAAAAAAAAAAGTTAATTAGCGTTGTTTAATGAATTAGCTTTAGTCCCTTGGAGGAACGAGAGACAAACGAGTATTAAGCACACAGAACCAATGTCTTTTATCTTACTGGTTTGGTAAAGAAGTTACATACATGTAAAGACTTGTAAATATTCAATGACTGAGAAAATAGTTCCATTGTGTAATTTTGTTTTCTACTTAGTAGTTGTTCATTTGCATATCTATTTCCACCTCACTTTACTGTAGGTATTTCTGCGTGGAAATCCATTCAGTTTCTAGGTAGTGCACACATTCTAACTTCTGGTTCATCTCTTTCATTGCAATTTTTTATTATTTGTAAAAAGACAATTCATACATTGCCACATAGAAGTGATGATTTTATCTTATATACAATGTTTATCTGGTATTGGAATTTTTGTTTCATGGAGCCTGATGTTCACAGATAAATTCCAGACTTTTTAGAATCAATCATATCGTCCTTCAGACCCATCTTGCAAATATATGTTGAAGATTCTGTTAGTAGAATTTTTACTAAAAATAGGAATTGTATTAATAATATGGAATTATATGGATGCTTTTCAAAATCCTGTCTTTTTGCTTACACAGTAAGGTTTATGTGCTACAGTGTCTCATCACTGATATTAAGGCAAATTGTTTATAAGAAAATGTGTAAGTGACTTGAAGCCTGAGCAGTTAAGTATTCTTAACATCTACACAGGTGAAGGGTCTAGATTCCTGCATTAATGTGTGCCTGGTAAAATCTCTTTTACTTCAGTAACATTTTTTAAGTTGATCAAACTTAACAAAATTTCAGCTGTTGCTTCTAAAATACACACAGTAGAGAATGAGTAAGTGTTTCAATTGGTTGAAATTTCCTACTCTTTAAAGTGAGGACAGGAAGACCAGTCTGTCTGAGCAGCATATCTAAAGAGAAATAGGTCATATGTTTTAAAAATTTCTATGTGCAGACCACTAATATGTTTAGGCAAAATTGCATCATTATGTCTATGGAAGTGGATTCAGGTTTATTTTTTAATTGCAGTAAAAAGTTCCAAATTAAACTGTATAATCTAACAGTTTGATAGATTTTGCAGGGGCTTTCTGACATTTATTGTGTTTCCTAGAAGGGCAAAATCTTAGGTTGGTTGAAGTTTAGCCTCACATGCAAAAATAGTTTTAATTAAAAATAAAAATGTTCTTTGTTCTGCTTACATTTGTGCATATTAGATCTTTTGACATAGTATGAATGAGAAATATATTAATTCATAGATCTATTTTTTATATATACAGTGATCGCTGGATTATATAGTCCAGAAATAAATGAATCCCAGCCATGAAGAAACTATGAATAAAATCAGTGTGGTGAACCTTGATAAACTTTTAGATAACTTCTCAGAGATAGAAAAGGTAAGACTGTTGAAACTGCTATCTGAATATTTTGTGACACTTTAATAAGCTTTTCAAGTGAAAATTTATTTGAAGTGGTATCAGTTTATTCTTATTAATATGCCTTGTAATACCCACTTTGCTTGGGAAGTGTTTGTACTGACGGTATCACAGAGTGGTGTGAGTGACTCCTGTGAGGTCTGAGAAGCCTTTGTTCCTGTGCGAGAATTTTAACAGCACAGAGGCCAATTCTGGCTCTTCGGGAAGAGTGTGGAAGTGTCCCTTTGTATCAGCAGCTGCTATTGGAGATAACAGTATTCCACAGCTTTGCTGGACTGTCTTTTTCAATAAATTGTTCCTTGTTCTAGAAAAATGTCATTGCCATAGCAGGAGCATCTGTTCTTTTATTCCATATGTGTTGAGCTCTCTTCGTTTTAGGTATGTGTCGGTTTTTAGAAGATTGATCCACGGAGGAAAATCAGTACTGTATTTCTTGTTAGACCCACGTTGTCCAGCTCTCTGGTGATTTCCTGATCAGTAAATCTGTACTAAAGATAATATAAAAGGGGCACCTGAAATAAATTTAGCATTTCTCATGGAAAAAACATATACCAGTTCCTATTCACACCTATTACTCTTGTTGGTGCTCAGCGAGGGCGTTGACAACCTCATATGCAAAGCAGTAGAAAGAACCTTGCTGAGGATTGATCCAGACTGTGGGCTACAGAACTGAGAAGAAACCCGTTTATAACTAGTGATGTAAGTCAGCATTCTTAGTTCTGCAGGGTAAACTCACAGGAGCAGGGGCTGTCAAGTCCAGCATTGTTTGTCTCTATAACGGAGTTTCCAGAATGCCAAATAATACAGGTGTGTGAATGCAGTGTTGTGAAATTGTTAAATTTTCTATTAATTTAAAACTCAATATTTAAAACTAAATCAAAAGATATTAATATAACTTCAGTCTTTTTCAATTTTTCTAGAAAATATCAGAAATTAACGAAGCAAATAACCTACTGGTTCTTCAGCTGGAAAAATGTAACAGCTTGTTAACATTAAGCCAAGCAAAGGAGGAATCAGTAAAAGAAGGTAAGTTATTTTTTAAAAAATGGTATGCATATGTTCAGGAAGTTCTGAGAAATATTTCCATTCTTTTCAGTCATATCAAATACAAAAATAAAATAGCAATGATCTGAGACGCTGTGTGAAAACAGTAATGCTTAATCTCAGTACATGTAAAAATCTGTCTAATTTGCATAAAGCAGACAACTTTAATCCACAAACGTATCTTGAGAACTGCATGAAAGTAGCTGTTTTCCAGTTGATGTCAATATCCATCCACTTCAAGATACTTGTGAGTGCATGCAGTATTTATGAAAGAAAATCTTTCCTTTTGTATTTTCTTTCCTTTTTTTCCTCTTAATCTTTTTTCTTTTCATTGTGTTATCTCCTTTTCCAAGGAAACAATGTGTTGGCAGGTAAAGAGAGAGGGGCTCAGATGAGGTTGGTACACCTGGTGATGTTCCTGTGCCCAGACATTTACCTTTCCCATCCGTACAAGCCCCTTGAGCTTCTAGTGAACTGCCACAGTTGACAATGCCAGCATTTTTAAGCAGACTAACATCAGTAGTTTTGCTTAAAGTGCTAGCCTGTGACTTAGTTAATCCATAAGCCACTCAGATGTCTGTGTAGAACAACAGGATCCACATTTGGGAGAAGTAAGGTCAGGACTGACAGCTGTTCCATTAGTATCAATATGAAAAATGTTATGTTTCACCTGGTCACCAGAAACATTTTGCCCAATGAGAAGTGAGCTCAATGCATTCTGAAACGTGTGTCTTGCTGCCCTCTGAAATGTCAAAGCTTACCTGTAATTGGAAGTTGCATGTCAGACTGGTGGGGCTAGTGCTCTGCCATAACATAAAGAATCGTGTTTCTTAGTTGCTTGTGTGACTTGTTTTGTTTAGGGACAATCTGATAGCCCAGTTTGGGGTTTGGAATATAATTTGCCTGTACCATGCTGACTTGTATATTGAATTTTTAGTATTCCTCTTTGCATTTTTCTCACTTAAACTAATTCTGTAAGGACCTTGGGTATTGGTGGGATCTCAGTGTCTTGTTCTGCCTAGACATTTGTGTGACTTATAGAGGACTGAAAAGCTGTCCAAAATGATTATGCATTTTATCTGTGTGAGATTTACTCTCTGAAGGTCAGATTAAACAATGTGACAGCCCATTTTGTGTTTATAATGTCAGTGTCAAGATTTTATCTCCGTGACATTTCCAACTCAGTTATAAAGTGTAAGGAATAGCATATGATCCTTCAAGGTTGAGTTCAGTTAAGCTGATACCAGTGTTGTGAATTTATTCCATAGGCAGTACTTGTGTTACTGTCAGCTTTAACATGATCAGTTTTGGTCTTATTTCTTTTACTTTGTATAGCAGATTTCATTTTATGGTGCTGATAGTTATGAATGATAACAATAATTTATATTAAGAGGATTCAAACTGTTTAATGGAAGCTAAATAATGAAATGGCATTTACTGTTTTACAGGTGGGAATTATAAGCCTCTACATCATAATAAAAAAGTTGCCAAATAAAGGAGGAATCAAAGAAAAAACTATTAAATTAAGATTTATTTTTTAGTTCTAGAAGTGTATCTTTTCAGATGGATATTTGAAAAGAACAATAATATCTAGTACTTAGCAGAGATTTGTGGTTGCTCTGTCTTCTGTAGTTTATAGAGTTGCTGAAAAGTGCTGCAGAACTTTGGTCTCTGACAAGTGAACTTGCCAAAAGTTGGGAAACAGAGTAGGAATGAACTTAGTTTCATGCTGGAGTGAGATTGCCAGTTGGTTTCACTCAGATCTTCACTAGGATTTAAATAATTTAGCATAATCAGAAATGAATTGGAAAAGCTACTGAGTGACTGAAGTTTGCTAACGATGCTAATCTGTTCAGTTATACCAAGAATCTCATGATGCAGAACGACAAGTGATAAAAAGGAGAGATGAAAACCAGTAGCAGTGCATATGGGAGGCATTTTGTATAAACAGTGGTTGGCCCTAGTTGGCTGCTTCTCAGGAAAGAGATCTTGGTGTCCTTCTGGATAGTTCTCTAAAAATGTCAGTGATGAAAGAAGCAAACACAGTGACAGGAGGAATTATGGAAGAAATAGAGAAACAAACCATAAACTCTGTGATTTTCATGTAATGTCTGGTCCTCCCCACATTTCAAAATGGGCATACCATAACTACAAAAGACAACAGAGAAGGTGGCAAGGTTTGGTGTTGCCAGGGCAGAGCAAGGGACAGGGAATCAGGAACGAGTCATGCAACAAGGCCCACAGAGGTGGGGGCTTCACCAGCCAAGACTCACTCCCACCGTACCCATGCAGGGCTGGCCCAGTGAGGGCTGTCAGGGTCAGCCAGAAGTCCACATTCCCAAACATGTATGTAATGATGGAACAGGTCCAAGGTCAAGACAGGAGGCTGAGTCAGGATCAGGTTCAGAAATGGTAACAAGGGCCAGACATGGTCTAGTGATCACTAGCAGGTCCCTACTGATGAAGCAAGAGTGAAACCAAGCCAGGAAGTCACTCCCTAGGTCATGACCAGGGTCTAGAGCTACATGGTATGTGGCTGTGACACAGCTGCAGCCTAGACCTAGGCAGGCCAAGGGCAAAAGCTTCGGTTTAAAAGCAGCTCCCAAGGGAAGGAGGGGCAGCCATTTCTGAGTCTTCTTCCAGCTTTCTTCAAACAGCTTTTATCAAGGTCAGCAGCTGTACTCTTTCTAAGTTGGCCTTGAGCCCATGCAAACACCCAGGAGGTGGGTGGGAGAGAATGCCCCTGGGGCCCTCACAGGTTTGGTCACGATTTTGGAACATCTGAAGAAAGACTTAAGTTGACTGGAAACTTCTCAGACTAAAGAGCAAACTAGAGCTGATATGACTCATAGCTGTAAAGTTATGAATGGCATAGAGAAGGTGACAAGGGAATGAATATTCACCGTTTAATGTAATGAGAGAACTAGATGGAAATCAATCTTGTTGATTGATTTAAAGCAAACAAAAGGAGGAACTTTTCCATGCATTACAAAATAAATTTGTTAAATCAATTTCACAGAAGCTTGTGGATAACAGAGGTATAGATTAGAAAAGATTAGAAAAATTCATGTAACAAAACCTAACAAATGTGTTAAACACGAAGACAGTACCTCTTACTCAGATCTCTCTTATTTTTGTGTTTTGGGAGCTGTGAGGGTATATTAAGGGTAGTGTTTATCCAGCTTTTCTCCCTGTTTCCTGAAGTATCTTCTACTGGGTATTGTGAAGTAGGATAGTGAACTGCCTGGAACTTTTGTCTGACTCATTAGAGCCGTTTGTTTCTCTATTAAGCACAAAAAAGAATGCAGGACAGTCACTGAGAAACAGATCAAGAGGCTTCATTATTGACAAACAGAGAGGAAGGGGTTTACACAAAATAGATTTTTAAAAAGGGGAAGGAAAAGGTGGACAAAAAGAATGAATTATTCTTACCATAAAACCTGTGGGATAAAGGATAGCAGAGAAAGTGAAAGAGAGAACTCGGGAAATCAGAGCAGCTGGGATGGCTGCAACAAGCACTGTGGAAGTAGAATGGACTGAAAACAGATGAAAGTCAGAAAAGAGATTTGAGCTTTGTAAATAGTAGTGTCTCCCTTCGATGAGGTAAGAGTGAAATGATTTGAGGAGATAGTTATGCTGATATAACAGAAGAGAGTGACCTCTGGAACTGTTTTGAAACACATGACGGGGAAAAAAAATGTGGATGGCAGAAGGCCAAGTGAAAATACCAGAGCAATCAGTATGAAATATGAGCTAAAGTTTTAGCAGCAGGGATAGTCAGGAAAAAACAAATCTCAATAATTGTGCAATCATAGTAGTTGTATGAATTAGTACAGATACAGATAGGAGGCAGAACTTTTGGAAGACAAGGATTCTAGTCCATGAGCTAGAGAGATTGCAGAACTGTTAGTAGTAGTAATGAAGAAAGTGAAAAGCAGGAACTTGGAACAATGTAGGGCATCCAAGAGGTGGTTGTGAAAGCTACCTGAGGATAAGGAAGTGAAAGGTAAAGGACAAATGCCAAAGGGATAGAATATGTTTAGAAATTAAGACAGTTATCATGGCTGTTCTGTTATGTTAACGTGCCTACCAATAAGGTAAGCACTTCAAGTAGCATGGCATGAAAAGCTTATAAATTTGTATTTTAGAACTGTATTAATGGTGATCAGAAAGGAGCGTCACAAAGCATCTTTGGCAGCAAATTGCCATAATTTGCAGCAGATGCTGTCAGAGCCACATTTCCTGAAAGTATCATTTGAAGAGTTGGTCCAAAGGTAACTGAAATTGCTGGGTTTGGACTGCTGTGTCAATTTCCTGATGAACAGTGTCAACACGCAATCTTAATGTATGTACATTCTCAAGTTGAAGAGCATTCTCAAGGTCATCCCATTACAAATTTAACACAAAAGCAAATGACTTTACAGGGTAGGTAAACAACTCAGCCTTAGAATATAAGGTTTATCAGTAAACCAGAGAGCAATTCACAGAACATGCTAAGGAAAAAAACATGCTGGTAGATGGTTCACATACAATTCCAAATAAACATGCTGCTTACAGCAGAGAAGCAGAGGGAAAAAAAAAGAAGGAAAGGCTGTTGTTCCACCTACCCTGAAGAGTCTGTGGCTACTAGTGGTGGTGAGGTTTTTATCCTGGCTGAAGAACCCTTTGTTAGTATGAGAAACTGAAATAGGAACACCATTTTGCACCCCAAGAAATCTCCAACAAGTGTAAGTGAGAACTCGAGGGATCCTTGATATCCATGATTGCCAGAAATCTCTCTCTAGAACTGTTTAAGGTAAAAAAAGCCTGGCAGTTCTGAAGGAAATGAAAAGGAAGAAAGAAAACTTCTAAAACTCAAGGGAGATAGGAGAGTAGAACACTTGAACTGAAGATAAGGTGGGAAAAGATGAGCAACTAGGCAAGTGTATACATGTTCTGGAAGGTCATAAGTGAGCTTTGTTTTGTCTTGGTGTGTTCTTTGCTAAACAGAGGTGAGAACCAGGACCACTGGCTTAGTGTAAATCATTGCACATCCACTTAAGACAGACACATGTTTATCATTCTTGTTTTCTGCTCCTAAACCTTTTCCATGGTGACTAAATGAACTCTTGTGGCGTGTCCTGGTAGGCTGCAGTTCTGAACTAAAATCTACTGGATTTTTTAAAGAGAAAGCAATCACGTTATTGTCTGTTGAACACTTAAGGTGGCTCTATTTAGCATCTTCAGTATTGTGCATTTGTTGACTTTATGTTTCAAAAGTGTTAAAGGAAATAGTGGTTGATGTAATTGCCTTATAAAAAACAAAAAGCCAATAGCTTCAATTATAAATGCAGATGGAAGAAACTGCAATAAATTACAGATATTAAACATGGGAAAAGAGCACTTAGGCTGTTCAGTCTTTCTGCATGTAGGGAGTATTTTTACAGGGAAGGAACCACACAGAATCCATAACAGGTGCTATGCCAGTGATCCACAAAGCTGCATCACTTAGCAAAAATTTACTTTTTCTTCCTTAATTTAGGCAAGTAAAACTTGTGTGTTCCCAGTATTTTTTTTCCAGTCACAGCTGTAATTACAGAAAGGATTTGCCAAGAAACATGGAGTTCTCCGTACAAGACAGACATGGACCTGTTGGAGTGGGTCCAGAGCAGGGCCACAGAGATGATCAGAGGGATGGAGCATCTCTCATACCAAGAAAGGCTGAGGGAGCTGGGGCTGTTCAGCCTGGAGAAGAGAAGGTTCTGGGGAGACCTTACTGTGGCCTCTCAGTGTTTGAAGGGGGCCTATAAGAAAGATAGGGACAGACTTTTTTAGCGGGGCCTGTAGTGATAGGACAAGGGGAAATGGTTGTGAACTAAGAGAGGGGAGATTCAGACTAGATATAAGGAGGAAATTTTTTACAATGAGGGTGGTGAAACACTGGAACAGGTTTCCCAGAGAGGTGGTAGATGCCCCATCCCTGGAAACATTCAGGATCAGGCTGGACGGGGCTCTGAGCAACCTGATCCCTGCTGACTGCAGGGAGTTGAACTAGATGAACTTTAAAGGTCCCTTCCAACCCAGATGATTTTATGACTCTGTGATACATCCTGTAAAGTTAAGAAAGATAAGCAGATATTCTGGGGACTAGACAAAAGAGCTGTGATTCATTCCAAGACTAGCTGCTGTCCTGTTCTTCACTCAGATGCATAGATGTCTTTCCAATTTGTGCATAAATTACAAGCATTTGGGTTTATCTCCGTACATTTTCAAATGGGAGAAGATTCGTAGTAGAACTATTTGGTACAAAGGTGCACGCTAACCCAGTGCTTCCGACTTGGCACCGGCGTTTTTGATGCCGTGGAGGCGCTGGGGGCAGGCGATGTTTCTGTGCTGTTCGTGCTCCCCCTGCTGTGCTTGTGGAGGCGCCGAGCGGGAGAAGGCAGCCGGCCAACCTGCTGGGCTGCATGAAAAGCGGGCTTGATGGAAGAACAGACTAAAGGTCAAAAAGTCTCAGTGTAAAACTGAATCTCTGAGCTGGGATCTTAATTAATCTCCCTGACTCCATTTTTTGTAATGTAGTCTTTAATTGCATCATCTACCAGAGCTTTGGTCTTATGAGTTAAGTAACTGTTACTTAGCATACTTTATCTGTTGTATTAAATTAAAAGCCATGTTATAAATGCAGTGGTACTCTGGGAATAGAAAGATTTTAAGAGCAAGCAAACTCAGTTTTAGTGTCCCCAGTCTTCCCAGTCTTTGAATGCTTTGTAACATTACTGATAAGGTCACAAGGAACGTAAGGGATAAAAATAGTATTCAATTAAAACAAAATGTTATGTTACAGGCAGTCCATGTGGTGTTAAAATATTAAAAATGCAATTTTAAAAATTTAAATTATGAAATACAAATATGTAAATTGATAGCAATTTTCATGTCTATACATACCCATACACATAATTGTTTTGTTTAAAATGAGATAATGGGTATATAGGTGGATATTCAAAATCTCCAAGTTTATGTTGAGCCAAAAGATTAACGTTAATGTGCTCTAAAAAGGGGGTGAGAAACTGCAATGAGTGGCTAGTCTTGGTCTTATTGAAAAGAACCTTGTCAAAAATGCTGTCAGGAAAGTACGCCTCAGTTTCATTAATTACATCAAAGTGTTGGAATGCTGATGTGGAAAACTTCATTACTGCCCAGGTAACAATAAAATCCTTGTTTTCTGGATAGAAACAAAACTTTAATAGTTTTATGAAATTGTTCGTATTGCTTCATTAAATTGTTCTTAATCTGTCACCAAACTAAAAGCTAAAAATAAGCAGTAACCACATCAAAATAATCCAAGTTATTTCTGTAGACAGCAAGAATACTTAGACTGATATTTAATCAAGATTATTATAACATATTTGAGAAAAGTTTCTAAACAAAATAGAAAATTAAAATTATGAATAAGTTATTAAAAATACTGAATTTTTAATTTCTTTTAGAATGTACTACTCTACAGAATGTGATAAAAGGTCTAACAAAAACCATTGAAAACCAGTGTAATGTGAAAGGTAAAAGAAAAATGTTCTTACATATCCTGTACTCTAATATACAATAAGAAGGCATTTGATTTTTTTGTTTATATTTATTGGGTTTTTTTCAGAGAGAAAGACACTGGCAGCTAAACAGAGAGGGAAAAAAATGTATCTAAAATCAATCTTGTGCAGATTTAGGTGGTCTGTATGCTTAATGAATGTCTTGCTATTATCCTACTTAGAATCCACATGTGAAATAAGTTCTGCCTCAGTGTGTTTTTTTGATCAACAGTGGGCTTTAAATTTATTTCAGCATAGCACAGGCAATTTTACAAAATGTGAGAAACTATAATTCAGCTGTTGGACTGTAGTCTATTAAAGCACTTATGCATAGTTTTTATCACTTTGTTAAAATAAAGAGTCTTAATTCTCAGTGTTACATTATTAAAATTTAGCCAATGTCCATATTTTACAATTACTCATTGATAAATATATATATATATTTGCTGTATCTTTACACCACAGTTTAACTGTACAACATGTAGTTAATTTTATACCCTTTGGGTGTTCAAGGCATATTAGCACAAATATTAATAAAACTCTAAAAATTTGAAGTATATGGCTTCTTTTAATACTCAATACTTTTAATAATAAAAAAAAGCATTATCTGTTTTTTTTAAATTCTGCTTGAGAGATATTACTATCTAGTTTTTGGGAAACAAGTACTTGAAAAGTTGCATCTTCCACTTCGAAACTGTTGTAGCCATGATAATAATCTTTTCTTTCTGAGCCAAAGAACTTTGCCTCTAGATTTTGTTGAATGTATCAGTTATCAGAAGGCTAAGTACAGTTCAAAGTAGTAACACAAGGCAAATACTATGATTAAACTATGAATTTTCTCATTTAAAAAATGGAGACTGAGAATATATTCTGTAAATGATTATTATGATGTCTAAAAAAAAGTTTCTTAAAGCTCAGACAAGTCAAAAAATGAAAGCAATTTTCTTATTCTGCTTTCATGCTAATAATACTGTTAAAATGTACTTTTTAGTGTATCATACAGTTTTTTATTTGCATAGATGAAAATGATAGACTGAAGGGTACCATTCACAGCTTGGAAGAGAAATTAAAGGCTTGTGAACAGGTATGTCACAAACGATCGTTACTTAGAGGACCAATATATTATCTCCATTGTAGTGGTTCATATATCTTTATATTCTTGGGTTTGCTACTAATACCATTATTGTTGCACTTCTCCTAACATTTATCATATGGAAAAAGCAAAGAGTTGTTCTCATGACAGTATCAATGTGAGAATGTGTTAGAGGGACTAAGAGGTCAAAACTACTAAGTGCTGAGAACTCTAGCTCAATCTAAGATGCACTTATTTTTTTTAGCTGTATTTAGCTTTAAAATCAACTTTGCATTCTAAAATTGAATGCCTTGCATTAAAATGTGGTTTTGTGTGGAAATAATTTTCTGCCAGAGAATCAAGAACTGTCTGAATTTTGTCTATTGTTTCTTTGAGAGTAAATGTTACAAAGATAATAGGTCTCTACTTTTTATCTGTCTCATAATAAATTCCATTTACCATGTCTACTTTTAATCTATGCCACTCATTTTTGAAGTAAGCACAGCCAATTCCTTTGTAATTCTGGAGCAGTTACTGGAGCAAACTTACAATAGGCGTGCTCAAACTCTTCACTTGAGTATCAGTGTCACTAGCATCACTACTGCTGCTATCACTGGTGTTTCTGCTGCTGCCAGTATGAAGTTGTGGAATCCCTGGTATAAGCAATATTAACAAAATTCATACTTCAAATACAGGTTTTGTGGTACAATCTTACAGTCAAAAATCCACAAAAGTAAAGCTGTAGTCACTTAACTAACTGCAGCATTGTATCAGATCCTGGACTGGGGCAAGGAATATTACTTCTCTGTTTGCCTGTTTGCCTAGTAAGTACAATTTGTAATTTTATATTAACTGATAGCTGCAATGCAATGCAATCTGCTACATATTTCATCTGTGGACCTCAGCCAGATTATGTAAGAAGGAATTGGGCATTTTGAATTTACTAGATCAAGGATAAAACAAGTACCAAGTTGTAGAGTACTGTACATTTTTACATGAATGTTGTGCTTTGCAGAAGGCTAAGAGCACAGAAACATCAAGATTTTAATGAAGCTTTTTACATTCACAGGAATATGAAGATCGGATTGAGAAACTTATGATGGAAATTAAAAACAGAGACGAAGACCACAAATTAAAAATAACACAGTTGAATTGCGATATAAGAAAAAAATGTAAGTTCTCTGAAGACTGAATACTATAGCACTGGGTAAAACATGTTGTAACCTGCAGGAGCTATACTTCTTCTAGGATAAGTTCCACTTCTTACTGGAAACATGAAAGCTTGAAGTGGACAGTGTTTAATTGAAATTCGTCTTTGCTCAACAAAGTAGACAGTGGCAATGAGGCAATAATACAGCAACACAGGATAAGCAGAAATTCCCAGACAGGTAGAACAGATATAGGGGACTTGGACCTAAAATTCTGAAGGAATGAAATTTTGGGTTAAGTGTTGACTGCAAAATTTCTTTGAACTATAAGCTAGACTGCTGTTAGGGTGTTTCAGCTATGCTCAGGATAGTAGGAGATTATTTTCACAAATAAGTAATACTGCAAGGAGAAAGAATGGATTTCAGTATTATTTTTTTTCCATTACTGGCATAGCCTCGAGGAGTAGGAGTTGTTGGTCATCCACTTAGCTGAAAAAAGCCAGACAAACTCTTTGTACAACATGTTGCTTCTTTAAAGACACTCTGTCTTACTGGGATGGGACAGGGTGGTTTTCACATAGTTTTTAAGTATGTTTTTTGCTTGAATGAAATTGTTTTCCCATGAAATATTGATCTGCTGTTCAAGAAAGCATTAATATTTGGGAAATTATGTTATTTTTCCATCTAAACATCTTCTGTAATCATCGTATCTGGTGTTACTGTGTTACTAGTTGAAGCAAAAGAAGTGGAGTATAGAGAACAGAGGGAGAAAAAAGAACTGGAAATACTAGAGCTAACTAGACAGCTGACAATTCAGAATGAAGAGAAGCAGAATGAAATAATTAAACTGCAGATGGAGGTATGCATTACAAAGCTGAGCGACAGACCAGCTGGGCATTGGGTAAACCTAGAAGAGACTGTGTAGTGAAGAATATTAATTAGTACTTTACAAAGTAATATGATGTAATCTAGGAAGCTTAAAAACCAATTGTCTTTAAAAAGATCAGTACCATGTGCTCCCTTCCATAATGGTACCTTGAGTCGCTTCTGCTCAGGAATTGAGTTCTACCTACTGTATAGGGAGACTGAAGTTTGCTGTGTTCTTGTTTTAAATTAAATTATTTTGAAAATTTTGCTATTTTTTTGAGCTATTAAAAAAAACAAACAAGGTTTTCTGCTTATTTTTATTCTTTTTAATTTCTGAATGCTGGGAAGATACATTTTTTAATAAATTTCCAAGATCTTAAAGACTTCTAATCCTGCAGAGATTTGAGTCAATTAAAGTGCAGAATTCAACATGTATTTCATGGCTCAGGTTTTAAGCCACTGTCATTACAGAAACAATTAAGGAAATACTTCAAGCCTTTCCTGTATCAAAAAAGAAGTAAGGTGTGAAAATGTTCCATCTGAGTTACCCTTGCAACATGAGAGAAGGGTGATGGTTTCAGGGGTGTTTAGCATCCTCTGCATTTTCTCCTCCCGCAGACAAGCAGCTGTGAAGCCTTCAAAATTTTTTTAGTAGTTGTCAAGTTCGTCTAAATGTGTTTGGTTTATGATAGTTGTACTGTTTACTTTTTATCATAGAA